GTTTGGAGCTGCCGTTGTTGATTCCTTGTAAACTGCTCTGCCCACCCAGCTCTGCCCGAGGCCACGGCCAGCACCGGGGACATCTGCCATGAAGCCATTCCACGGCGCAGGAATTTGCCCCGTTCCCAGCCCTCCATCCTGCCCCTCATCCCTACTCCAGGCTGACTCCAAACCCTCGCTGTAACCCGAGAATTCATTTCCCAAAACAGGGACATTTTCCTCAATTTATAGGAATTTTCAGTGCCAGTGACATCTGCAGTTGAAGGCATTCCCTGCTGCAGGAATTCTCTGTTCCCAGCCTCCCGTGCCTGCCCCAAGCTGATTCCACATCCTGCGATTCCCTGTCTATAACTGGAGAGTCCTTTTCCCAAAACAGGGAATTTATAGGAATTTTGGCAAACTCCTAGAGGGGAAATTTGATACATTTGGGATGGGAAAAGGCAAAGAGCTTCCATAGGGTTAGGATTGGGGTCCTCCTGAGCACCTCCTGCATCCCAGGATCCTTTACCAACACCGACGGGATCAAAACTTCCGGATAGTCTATATGGAATGGGATAACAAATCCATAAAGATCCCGAAAAACAGCTGGGACATGGAAACAGGAAAGAGAGAAGAGCTCCAAAACCTGGATCATCCCACCCTATCCCTGGTCCCATGCGAGCCTCCTCCAGTGGGAATTCGCTGATCCTGGAATTCCACCGAGGAGCTGAAATTCCTTGGAAAGCTCCGCCGAGCAGCTGATCCCTGGCGGGATCCCAGAACCCTCCTGCAAGAACATGTTGGGTTTGGAGCTCATCTCCACATGCCGGTGACAATCTGGAGAGCACGGATCGCCTGCCAGGGAATGCTGGAAGAGGAGCTGCTGGAAATAAACACAGCTCCGGGGCTTTGGGGAAGATGAGGGGGAATTATGGCCTTGGATAAGAGCTGGAGATGATCCCGAATGGTTGGAAGGGCAGCAGAGGTGGTGGAAGGGCAGCTGCTTTTCCTCATTTTGGCCAAAATCCCGCTCCAGGTGAGGAATCCCACCTCAATTCATGTCAGGATCAGGGAATTAGGAAGGGACAAGGGAAGGTTCGAGGTCAGAGATGAAGAAAACCCCGGAATCCGAGAGGTCAC